TAAGAATATTTTTTAAAGCATGCTTCTAGTCCTATTTGTCTCTGCAACACAATTTGAACACGACGTCCAAAAAAAACCCAACCCCAAACACATACTCTATTCAGACATAATGCCTCTTCGAAAAAGTTCTACTGTATTATTCAGAGTTGGCACAGTGTAGCAGTCTGAATATTGGACCAGGGAACCGGGAGACTAGAGATCCAATCCCTGCAAGGCCATAGAAACCCACTGATTGACCTTGAGCTAGTCAACACTCTCTTGACCTCAGAGAGGAAGACATTTTGCAAAGACAACCCTACTCTTGAGGCCACTATGAGTCAGAATCACTTGAAGAACCAGACCTACAGTAATTGGAAATGAAATCTCTATCATTCTTAAATATACATAGCAAACCTTTTCCAAGGCACTAGATTATAGCATCCAACCCTCATGAAGCTAACCAAGCTAGTAATTAGAGCAGGTATGGGCACACTTGGATCCTCCAGGTGTTTTGGACTTCAACTCCCACAATTCCTAACAGCCTCAGGCCCCTTCCTTTCCCCCCTCAGCCACTTAAGTTTGTAATAACTGATGATAGATTATTTGCTGAACTTTACGATAGTAATCATATTTATTTCTCCCTCTCACCATCTCTCTCACTACTACTACTACCTATCATTGACACGACTGGACTTAATGTCAGGGGAAAACTTTTACCTTTACCTGTGTAACACCAGGGGCCTCCAGTGGCGCAGTGGGTTAAACCACTGAGCTGCTAAACTTGCTAACCGAAAGATCGCTGATTCGAATCTGGGGAACTGTGTGAGCTCCGCTGTTATCCCCAGCTTCTGCCAACCTAGCAGTTCAAAAACATGCAAATGTGAGTAGATCAATAGCTACCGCTCCGGCGGGAAGTTAACGGCGCTCCATGCAGTCATGCTGGCCACATGACCTTGGAGGTGTCTACGGACAATGCTGGCTCTTCGGCTGAGAAATGGAAATGAGCACCAACCCCCAGAGTAGGACACGACTGGACTTAAATGTCAGGGGAAAACCTTTATCTTACGGGTTGTTTTTATTTTTGTCGTATCAGGAGCGACCTGAGAAACTGCAAGTTGCTTCTGGTGTGAGAGAATTGGCCGTCTGCAAGGACGTTGCCCAGGGGACACCCAGATGATTTGATGTTTTTATCATCCTTGTGGGAGGCTTCTCTCATGTCCCCGCATGAGGAGCTGGAGCTGATAGAGGGAGCTCATCCGCCTCTCCCCGGATTTGAACCTGCGACCTGTCGGTCTTCAGTCCTGCGCCACCTGCACCACCGGGGGCTCATTTTATCTTACATAAGTCAAGGTGAAAACATTTCTGTTCCTAGTTTGAAAGTGTTATTTCCTGTTTAAATGTGTGGTTGTTACTTTGAAAGTAGTTGTTCTACTCGAGAAACTTTTTTTTTGCCACAAACTATGTTGGATTGGTTGAGAATCTGTGACAGGTAAGAGCAAGAAAGTAGTTGTTCTACTCAAGAAACTTTTTTTTGCCACTAACTATGTTGGATTGGTTGAGAATCTGTGACAGGTAAGAGCAAACTTGGCCCCTCCAGGTGTGTTGGACTTCAACTCCCACCATTCCTCACAGCCTCAGGCCCTTTCCTTTTCCCCCTCAGCCGTAAGCGGCTGAGTGGGAAAAGGAAAGGGCCTGAGGCTTTGAGGAATGGTGGGAGTTGAAGTCCAACACACCTGGAGGGGCCAAATTTGTCCATACCTGCATGCTAGGGACTGGGGACAAAAAGATGCAGAATTTAGATCTCTATTGGCTGGGTCCTTTAAGTAAGGTGGAGCAAGCTCACATTGGCATGTTATCTAATATTATATGATATGTCTGGACCTGTTGAGTTACAGCTGCATCTATGAACTTGATAAAAACATCCACACCCCTGCAGGCACCTTTCGAGACAAAAGGCTGGCCATTCCTTACCTGGTCCCGTATCTCCACAGGTAGATGTGCTTGGATCCAGGGGAAGGTGGGACGCAAGGAGTTCCCTGCAAAAGACAAAGAGAGAGAGCAAGAAGGGGAGAAAGGCTACCCAGTCTAGAGAGAGGGTGCGGAGATAGAGGGAAAGGTGCTCACTACTCACCTGGGTACGCAAGACCTGCGGGAAGTCCTCTTCTCCACCGTCGCCTCTGCTTCCTGAAGCAGCATTGGTCGAGGCTCCTACTTGCCTGCCTGCCTTAGTTGCCATTGTGACTCCCACCTGACCCTTCCTGCACACACAGGTGCAAAACAGCCCCACACACAAACACACACACATATTGGGAGAAGCCTGGAATTGGAAGGGACCCCCAAAGGCCATCCAGTCCAACCCTTCCTTCTTTTTTTCCAGGCAGGAAGACAACCATCAAAGCAGCCTTTGCTTCCAAACTTCCAGAGATGAAAACATTGTTTACCAGGATACTCACAGTTATACGGCTATTATGTGATAATATATATATTCATAATATCTTCATTTTCACACACACAGACATATATAATATTTTATAACATTCATAATATTTCATTTTCATATATATTTCATATATTTATAATATTTTAATAATATTCATATTTTCATTTTCACATACATTATATATATATATACACACCATTATATATAACATGACATATATGCACCAGTATGTGATATATATAGTATGTTATATATAACACATTATATATAGATACATATATTTCATGAAATATATAACATGACACACACACATATAACATAATATATATGTATATGATATATATAATGATATATAGATATATAAGATGCTATATATAGCATGACACATACGTATATAACATGATATATATGTATCTATATATAATGTGTTATATATAACATACTATATATATCACATACTGGTGCATATATGTCATGTTATATATAATGTATATACATATATGTCATGTTATATATGCGTGTGTCATGCTAAATATAGTATTTTATATCTCTACATATCATATTGATATATCATACACATGTCATGTTATATATGTGTGCATCATGCTATATATAGCATTTTATATATCTACATATATCTATATATCATATACATATATATCATGATATATATAACATGACACACACATATATAACATAATATATATGTATATGATATATATAAAACGCTCTATATATAGCTTGACAAACATATGACATGATATATATGTATATGATATATATAGTGATATATAGACATATAAGATGCTATATATAGCATGACACATATGTATATAACATGATATATATGTATATGATATATATGTGTATATATATAAATGCTATATATAGCATGATGCACACATATATAATATGAAATGTATAATATCGATATGATATGTAGAGATATAAAATACTATATATAGCATGACACACGCATATATAACACGACATATATGTATATGATATATAGATATGATATATAAAGATATATAAAATGCATATATATAACATATATAACATGACACATATATAACATATATATAAAACGTATATAACATGCACATATATAACATGATATATCTAACATGACTTATATATAACAGATATAGGTATATATATAACATGATATATATAACATGACACAGACTCATATATATAACATTATATACATAATATCACATGCATATAACATCATATACACATACACACACATAATTAAGTGAGGGAAAAAGTAGAATAACAATAAACACAGTAAAACAACGTTAAATTTCAGTTGTGCACAATGATTCCATTGGGACTTGAATCTTTTTCAAGCTCTTCCAAGGTCATTCCCATTGTTGGTCCCCTTTTTACCTGTCCTGCAGGTACCCTTCGAGAATGTGTCTCCTGAGTTGGGATGGCAGCCTGCAAGAGAAGCTCGGCGGGTCCTTCTTTCTATCTATCTATCTATCTATCTATCTATCTATCTATCTCTATCTCTCATCTATCTCTCTATCTCTCATCTATCTCTCTATCTCTCATCTATCTCTCTATCTCTCATCTATCTCTCTATCTATCTATCTCTCTATCTATCTATCTATCTATCTCTATCTCTCATCTATCTCTCTATCTCTCATCTATCTCTCTATCTCTCATCTATCTATCTATCTTCTATCTATCTATCTCTCTATCTATCTATCTATCTATCTCTATCTCTCATCTATCTCTCTATCTCTCATCTATCTCTCTATCTCTCATCTATCTCTCTATCTATCTATCTCTCTATCTCTCATCTATCTCTCTATCTCTCATCTATCTCTCTATCTATCTATCTCTCTATCTATCTATCTCTCTATCTATCTATCTATCTATCTCTATCTCTCATCTATCTCTCTATCTCTCATCTATCTCTCTATCTCTCATCTATCTATCTATCTGTCTGTCTCTATCTATCTCTCTATCTATCTCTATCTCTCATCTATCTCTCTATCTCTCATCTATCTCTCTATCTCTCATCTATCTCTCTATCTATCTATCTCTCTATCTATCTATCTATCTATCTCTATCTCTCATCTATCTCTCTATCTCTCATCTATCTCTCATCTATCTATCTATCTGTCTATCTATCTATCTATCTATCTATCTCTCTCTCTCTCTATCTATCTATCTATCTCTATCTCTCATCTATCTCTCTATCTCTCATCTATCTATCTATCTGTCTATCTGTCTATCTGTCTATCTCTCTATCTCTCTATCTCTCTATCTCTATCTCTCTCTCTCTATCTCTATCTCTCTCTATCTATCTATCTATCTATCTATCTATCTATCTATCTATCTATCTATCTATCTATCTATCTATCTATCTCTCTCTCTCTGCATCAGAGGTGTTTGTGGGCTTCCCTGGGTCCTCCACCTTCCCTTCCCTTCCCCTCCTTTCCCACTTTCCCCTTGCAGGTGCCCGCGGCGCAGCCCTTTCGGGGGGAAAGAAAGGAAGGAAGGAGAGAAGGAGGGAAGGAAGGAAGGAAGGAAGAGAGAAAGAAGCCCGGGCATCCTTGCTCACCTCGCTTTGGGTCTGCCTCGTCCTTAAAGGAGCCGCGGAGGTTTCTTCCTTCCTGGGAGTCAGGTTCGGAAAGCAAAGAGAGAACTCTTCTGCTGAGGCAAACCCCTCCCCGCTTGCTTTCCTCTGCTTGCTTTCCTCCCGAGCTGCCCCCTTTATAGCTGGTTTACCCCGCAGAGCCTGGCCGGGCTCCTCCCCCTTCTGGACAGACCCCTCGCCGGACAGAGCCACGAGGAGGGAGGGAGGGAAGGAGGGAAGGAAAGAAGGAAGGAATGGAAGAGGGAAAAGGAGGAGGAGGAGGAGAGGGGCCAGCTCTTGGCCGCCTCTTCCCCTTGCTCAACCCTTCTTCTTGCCCAACTCCCCGTGTCTGGGCAGGCGAGGAAGATGGGACCAAGGGGCGGCCCCATGGAGACCACCCTCCCCTGGAATCCTACAATCCCCAAAGAGGCATCCAGCCCAACTAACACAACCAAAGCACTCCTGACAGATGGCCAGCCAGCTTCTGCTTAGGGAAAGAGATAGAATCCTAGAGTTGGAAGAGACCTCAGAGGCCATCCAGTCCAACTAACTCCCTTCTACCAGGTGGGAAGACACAATCGAAGCACTCCTGACAGATGGCCAGCCAGCTTCTGCTTAGGGAAAGAGATAGGATCCTAGAGGAACACAACCAAAGCACTCCTGACAGATGGCCAGGCAGCTTCTGCTTAGGGAAAGGGAATCATAGAATCATACGGTTGGAAGAGACCTCATGGGCCATCCAGTCCAACTAACTCCCTTCTACCAGGCGGGAAGACACAATCGAAGCACTCCTGACAGATGGCCAGACCTCATGGGCCATCCAGTCCAACTAACTCCCTTCTACCAGGCGGGAAGACACAATCGAAGCACTCCTGACAGATGGCCAGACCTCATGGGCCATCCAGTCCAACTAACTCCCTTCTACCAGGCGGGAAGACACAATCGAAGCACTCCTGACAGATGGCCAGACCTCATGGGCCATCCAGTCCAACTAACTCCCTTCTACCAGGCGGGAAGACACAATCGAAGCACTCCTGACAGATGGCCAGACCTCATGGGCCATCCAGTCCAACTAACTCCCTTCTACCAGGCGGGAAGACACAATCGAAGCACTCCTGACAGATGGCCAGACCTCATGGGCCATCCAGTCCAACTAACTCCCTTCTACCAGGCGGGAAGACACAATCGAAGCACTCCTGACAGATGGCCAGACCTCATGGGCCATCCAGTCCAACTAACTCCCTTCTACCAGGCGGGAAGACACAATCGAAGCACTCCTGACAGATGGCCAGACCTCATGGGCTATCCAGTCCAACTAACTCCCTTCTACCAGGCGGGAAGACACAATCGAAGCACTCCTGACAGATGTCCAGGAAGCCTCTGATTAGGGAAAGAGATAGAATCCTAGAGTTGGAAGAGACCCCATGGGCTATCCAGTCCAACTCTCTTCTACCAGGCAGGAAGACACAATCAAAGCACTCCTGACAGATGGCCAGCTGGCTTCTGTTTAGGGAAAGAGATGGAATCATAGAATCATGAGGTTGGAAGAGACCTCATGGGCCATCCAGTCCAACCCCATTCTGCAAGAAAGAGGAAAATTGCATTCAAAGCACTTGTGGACAACAAGTTAAACATGAGCCAACAATGTGATGCGGCGGCAAAAAAAAATCCAAGTAATCCAAGTCTCGATCCAAGTAAGTCATGCTACCTCTCTTCTGCCTTGGTCAGACCACACCTGGAATGCTGTTTCCAATTCTGGGCACCACAATTCAAGAGAGAGATTGACAAGTTGGAATGTGTCCAGAGGAGGGCGACTCAAATGATCAAGGGTCTGGAGAACAAGCCCTATGAGGAGCGGCTTAAAGAGCTGAACATATTTAGCCTGAAGAGGAGAAGGCTGAGAGGAGACATGATAGCCATGTATAAGTATGTGAGAGGAAGTCATAGGGAGGAGGGAGCGAACTTGTTTTCTGCTCCTGGAGACTAGGACGGAACAATGGCTTCAAACTACAGAAAGGAGATTCCACCTGAAGAACTTCCTGACTGTTAGAACTGTTCAGCAGTGGAACTCTCTGCCTCGAAGTGTGGGGAGGAGCTCCTTCTTTGGAGGCTTTTAAACAGAGGCTGGATGGCCATCTGTCAGGGTACTGTGAATGCGATTTTCATGCTTCTTGGCAGAATGGGGTTGGACTGGATGGCCCACGAGGTCTCTTCCAACTCTTCCAATTCTATGATTCTATGACAGATGGCCATCCAGCCATCAGTGGAAACATACCCTTCCATCTCTTCCTCCCAAGAAAGTTGGCAAAGTCCCCATCCAGGCTGGAATCAGAAGGTGAGGGAAGTTCCACTGAAGGTGTAGTATATGCCATCACATGTCCCTGCTCACTTATTTTCATTGGTCAAACAAGCAGAGAAGTCAGACTCAGGATCATTGAGCACAAAACCATATTCTCCACTGACATATAATCCGGATTATCCAAGGCCATCCACATTATCTGCTTTGAACTGGATTATTTGGTTCTGCACTACCTTATAATCCACTCCAAAGCAGATCACCTGGATTTTATGTGGCAGTGTAGAAGGGGCCTCAGGCGGCATATTTTGCTGCCAAACAGCTCTTGCCTTCAAGAAGTTCTTCCTAATGTTTTGGTGGACAGAAGAGGCTCAGACTAGATGGCCTCTGAAGGTCCCTTCCAAATCCTTAATGGGACTCCCAGTTCCACTCTTCCCTGCAATCCTGGAAACCTCGATTCCTCTTGATGCAGCCCAGAATCACATTGGCTTTTTTGGCTGCTGCATCACTCTTGACCAGTCATGGGCAAACTTCAGCCCTCTGGGTGTTTTTGGACTTCAACTCCCACAATTCCTAACAGCCTCAGGCAGGGCCGTAGCCAGAAAAAAATTTCGGGAGGGGTTGAAATTTTGGGGGGGGGGGGTTTGAAAATTTCGAGGGGGGGGGGTTGAAACCTGCCTCCTAGCTCACGCTGAAGCAAAGAGCACAGCAGGGGGCAGAGCAGCCTTCAATAGCCTGCAGCTCCGCCTTTGTCAACCACCTCCACCAAGTCTGGCCTCCTTAATGAGAGCACCAAGTCTGGCCCCCCAACTTGGTTGCTTCACTACTGTTCTGTCGCGCTGGGCCTGTAAATAATTGTCTTTAGAACAGGATGTGCAACCTTTGCCCAGCGGGAAGCCAGGGGGCTAAAGAGAAGTTCTCAGAGGTTTCCACCACAAACAGTCTTTAGATGGCTTGAGAAGTACAACAAAGTCTTTTATTAATGAACAATCAAACAGAAACTTCTCTTGTCTTCAGTAAAGTTAAGCAAATGATTCCAAGCTTTTAGGCAACTGGTGAATTCCTAATCTTGCCCAAGGACAGGCAACTGTCTTCAATAACTTCTTCTTTAAAGGAAAATCCCCTTTTTAACTTCTCCCAGGCTGACTGTAATCTAACCCTTACTGATGTGGGCTCCGCTACCGGGTCGAACTGCGTCTCGAACGCCGAGTGGACCTACCAGCAAGGCAGTAGATGTTCTCCAGCTGGAGTTCTTTGGTCTTTAGGGCTGTTTTCCTGGAAATTCTTTGGAGACTCTTAAGACCTTTCTCCCCCGGAAGGTCTTAAGGGTTGAAGCTTTTGTACAGGGGAAGCTTGCACACATCCTATACATAAGCTTACCTTGCTGAGACTAACTAAAAATGGCTCCCTTCCCTTCCCAATTGCCCTGAGCAAGGGGCGGGACCAAAACTTAACAATGATGGACAGGTGACTTGCCCTATGACTGCAACCAAAGAAGCCACCTATCTGCAGAGTCCCTGAAACCTAGGACTGCAAGCAAACATTTAATACAAAGCAAATAAGTTGGAGCTCCTGGTACAGCTGTACCAGAACAACTACATCGGCTATTGCTGCAAGTAATGACAGTGTGAATAAATTGTCAATATTTGCTTGAGATAGTGCTTGCAGTTCTGGAGGGACTCTTAATTTTTTGCATCTCATAGACTTAGCATGGGGATTTGGTTAACCAGTTAAAATTCATGAGTAAATCAGGTTTTTTTAAAAAAAAATCTGAAACATTTCGGGGGGGGGGGTTGAACCCCTAAAACCACCCCCTTGCTACAGGCCTGCCTGATACCCCCTCAGCTGCTTAAGCCTGAGACTGTTAGGAATTGTGGGAGTTGAAGTCCAAAATACCTGGAGGGCCCAAGTTGGCCCATGCCTGATTTAACTCATGCCTGTCAACATAGGGAAGCACAGGAGCCGCTCACTTAGGAACACTGCTTCCCAAGGGACTGTCCCAGTGACAGCCTCAATCTATATTTTGGCACCATCTAGAAAGTCAACTGATGTTTAGTTACACCATCCAACATTGTGAGACGATGTCTGTTGATCTTCTCCCAAAATTGTCACTGGGGAGAAACATTTCAACTTCATTCCTGGCCAAATGCTTTTGTGGTCATTCATCTCATAACTTTATTTCATTGCCGTCCTTTTTCTCGACTTTTGTAATGGTTTTAATACTCTCGTATATGAGAGTGAGAAATGCATTCAGGGATTGAAATAGGATTACTTTTTATGCATCGGGAAGACTTTGAAACCGTCACAATTTACAGCTCGCTCCTCGGTTTGTTGACTCAGATGTCAACTTTGCCTCTGATCCCAAAAGATCCCATTTCAGCAATTCCGAGGGATTATAGGCGGATCTTAAGATTCCGCCGTCATATAAAAAGTTCCTTTTATAGTCTTGGTATACACATGTAAACACATGGTTCATTTCCATTCAGAAAATCAAAGATGCCGTTATTCTTTTAGTAATGTGAAGTGGGGGCAGCTTTGGAGAATGTTTTGGCTAAAAGGACATGAACATCAAGGGCTTATTCGCATCCATCCTGGGCATAATTCAAGTGATGATTCTGAAGAGAGATAGTAATACTAATAATAATTATTATTATTATTATTATTATTTATTTATTTATTTACTTTGCTTGTATACCGCAGTTTCTCAGCCCGTAGGCGACTCAACGCGGTTCACAACAACAGCAAAAAGTCAATCCAACAGGCATAAAAAATTCAAAAAACCATTAAAC